GAAGCACTGCATCTCCCTTGGTCTGTCCTGATACCACCTCACGGAGAGTAAAGTTACCTAGAGCTTTGGGTTCGGGGAGGTTGTCTGCTTCCCCAGCTACCATGTGTGGAGCTAGGCAGCTTGCAGCATGCCTACCAACCAGATCAAGACCCACAAGGAAGTGAGGCGGGGCAACGCCTATTTGCCCCGATTGGAGAGTTGTTCTGGTGCTTCGGCGTGAGATTAGGTCTCTGGTGCTGAGACTGAGGTAGTGGTACATGTGCTCAGAGGCACCAAGGGAACTTTTAGAGCAAAAACTTAGGTGCCAAGTGAGTTAGGAACCTATGGGGTTGGGTGGCAGCTGAGGGGGGATTTTTGTGGCTCACGGAGGTGCCTAAAATGGACTTAGGTGCCCAAGTCCCTTTGTGGATCTGGCTTTGTGTGCCTATTGTGTGGACTGAACATTCTTAGATTCCTCTGACTTTGGTGTGGGCCTGTGGCATGTACTGAGCACGCTCCTTCTCAGTTCACTCCCCAGCTCAGCACTGCAGGCCTGCTGCTTCAGCAAGGTCTGTACTGCTACCAAAAACTCTGCTGGCATGCCCAGGGTAGTTTGCCCCATTGTAAAAACAGGTCAGAGGTAAGGGGAGGCTCTAGTCATCCAAGATCCCCAGACTTGTATCCCAGATTTTATTCGGGGTCTTCATCAGGCATGCCAGCTCTCAAGCCAGTTTGGCTCTGCATTTGCATTTTAGAACATTTTAAAATTAAACAGAGCTCATTTGCTGGAAAAGGAAGGGAGCTGAATCTCAGGAACCCCATGACCGTGACCCCAAATGGTACCCAACGCCTTCTCCTAGCTTGCAAATTTCCACACCAATCTGACTGGTCTATGAACTTTAGAGCACTTTGAAAATGTACTTTTGAACAGAAATGCTACCGCTACAGCCTTTGGGTGTCTCTTGTGCCTGTTGGCATTCCAGGTTTTGCTCACAGCAGCATCACTTTGTAAAACCAAAGTAAAAATGTAATAGAGTTTGGATGATTGGGTTTTGGAGCTGTGTGTTGGTCAGCTTAGGGGAAGGCTAGTGAGATGTGTTCTATGTGAATACTGCTCATTTCCCCTCCAGCTTTGTGCAAAAATCTTCCTTTCCCATCCCAAGAACAAGCCTGAAATGTCAGCAGTGGTGTGTCAGTAACCTAACTGCATGCTGCCATTTATAAGCCTGCTCCCATTACTGGCAGTGTGAGCACTTTTGAGAGCAAAGAGAAGAAACACTCAGACATGGTCACACGGGAAAGATGATACAACAATGTAGAAGGTAGCTATGGTCTCCGCCTGCTGATGGCTTTACAAAGTAGGGCCATGCCTTTGAATTCACGGCATGGGCAGCCCTGACCTATCCAGACAGTTAATGAAGAACGCAGCAGTCGCTGAATTAAGTAGTCCTTGCTCAGTATCACGAGCAAGAGCTGAAGGTAGGTAACTGCAGTCCAACCCAGCTGCAGCTTTCCCAGAGTCAGCAGCCTGTGTCTCACTGGCACCTCGATTGTTTTTTTACCACAGTACATCTCTGGATAATATGTGCGACATGTTGTTCGCTAAGAAGAACAAAACAAGGGAGAAACTGCCTCCAACAACGGCCTCCTTCAGGCAGCATCTGAAATGCGCAAACGGTCAGCCCTACATATGGAATCATGCAACAGTTCTGTATCTTCAAAGGTCCCCTGTCAACAACAGATGGGTGATAGCATGGGACATCTTGTTCCTAAAATGGCGGTGCTGCCACCTGCTCCGGAAGCCATCCTCACCTTTGTGTATTGTGGCTGTGAGAGTATCTGTGCAACAAGGAGATGCAAATACCACAGGGAAGATATGGTGTTATGTGATGCATGCAGCTGTGAAAGTGACGAGTGTAGCAACAGAGTATCAAACACATCAGAAAGGTTCTGAGGGGAGAATAGAAATGTTTCAACTATCTCCAAATTACTGTGGCTATTTTATGAGTTAATATAGCTTAAAGGGGTGTCGATGAGACATTCAGTAGTTTATAGTTATATGGAGAAGTTACATAAGAGTGCATGATTATACTTCGTTATTCACATGATATATTCATACAAGACAGTCTCCAGCCATTCTACTAAGAATCATTACTGTTATATAAGTAGTTTACATAGATTGTCATTGTATTCAGTGATGGTAAGAAGATAATTACAGTTGTACTAAGTTTGCTTTAGACTTACGTCTCCAGCCAAGCAGATAACATCAAAAATATATGTTATGTAATTAGGGGGTAGGGGGCCTTATTATTTGCATAACTTCATAAAAATAGCAGACAGAAAAACTTTTCTCAACTCAGTCCATTCTACAGATGATGACAAACGTTTTGATGTATTACATGGTACAAACAAGCTCAGACTATCATGTGATTCCAGATTTTTGCTTTAACTGAAGGCAAAGTAGTACAGAAAAATGCATAAAATATATCACGTGGGCTAAATATTTCCCAAAACAGTATTACTTTGAGTATATAATTACATTATGAATTGTATTAGAAAGTTTCTGCCAATTTTGGCTGAAATTAGACTGTTTCTACGAGTTATGGCCCTTTTTGTGAGTTTGATTTCTTTGGATTAGATGCCTGATAACATTTAAACATTTTGTGACACAGAAAAGCTGCACCACTTCCAGCATCTACATCCATATGTGCCTAACATGTAGCAATGAAATTTTTCTAGCTGATGGGTTACACCTTAGTGCCCAAAATGGGTCTGGGCTGGTAGACTACAGGCTCTGAACTGTGGAGGACCAAGTGTGAGATTCTTGGATAAACCTGTGATGAGTGTAAAATTCCTGGAGAAAACAATGGTGCATTTCTAGTAGGAGCGAGTTAAGCTATGGTCCACCAAGGGCCAAACTCCTGTAACTCCATTAACATCAATGAAGTGACACCCACAATGAATTTGGCCTGTGCAGTTAGAGCCCAATCCAAAGCCGAGTGAGTGAATGGAGGTCTTTCCTTTGACTTTAATGGGGGTTGGATCAAATGCTCAAATATCTCATACGTGGGATCCTGTAGCCCATTCACAGGAAGCAAATGTGGAGGTTGCAGTCTCTGAAAATAGCTCCCGTGGTCAATAATGTGAACTCAGCCAGAGTGCTGCATGGTACAGAGGGTTCTGGAGTGGGCACTCTCCATACTCCTGCTTCTCCATTGCTAAGCCAAAGTTATCCTTCCTTCTATCCCTTCCAACCTGCTGAGGTTGCACAGGATATAAGTGGGGGTAGATTTCAACCTAATATATTTTCCTATTGTGTTTGCATTAGCATCTGGGATATGACTTAGCAGATTTTTCAAATACTACTGAAAGTAACATAAGGGTCTCTAATGTAGGCTGACTCTGTCTTTAAATAGATTTGGGATTATTTTTATGAAATACAACAGGGCTATAGAGAGAATACGTTACTCTTGACATCCTGAGGCTCAGCATCCCATAGGGAGAGCCCCCTCCTGGGTAAATCCAGTTGTGGAAATCTGCCTTTGGAACATATTTTTCTGCAACAGTGCTTTTTCCAGCCCTGCAGAATGCCCTGTTTGTTGACATTTATTCCTTCAGATGCTTAGAATGCAATTGATCTCTACCTCTATTGAAACCAAGATTAAATTCTCCACTCCGCTCCCTGCTTTTTTTTATGGGGTGGGGGTGGCATTACAGAGATTGTGAGAGCATCCAACTAGCCCTGTGCAATGATGATGGTCTCTCCAGTGTCAGAGGAGATCTCACGGGCCTGATGCTGTTATCAACAAGCCAGGTGAAAGAAAGTGAGAGTGGGGAGGGGAAAAGAATACAAGATGCACCTCATACTGCAGAACACAAATAGAGTTAAGAGCCTGGAAATGGGATCAGAAGAACTAGAGGTGGTGAAGACCTGTTAGATCTCTAAACGGTATCTCCTGCTAGTGGGACCCCCTGCCTCCCCATATATACGAACATAAGAATGACCATACTGGGTCAGACCAAAGGTCCATCTAGCCCACTATCCTGTCTGCCAACAGTGGCCAATGCCAGATGCCCCAGAGGGAACGAACAGAACAGGTAATCATCAAGTGATCCAGTCCCTGTCACACATTCCAGCTTCTGGCAAACAGAGGCTAGGGACACCATCCCTATATAGTGGAGGCATCACGGGACAATAAATGGAGATTACTCTTGATCCTAACCAAATAGTCAAAATATGCTTTGTACCCGATCTCTGCCAGAGATGGTTAGCAAACCTAGACAATGAGCAGGGTCCTCACCTCTCCGCTTGCCTTGCACTCGTATGTGCACACACCTGCATGCATCTGAGCCTCAAACCCTTACCGGAGCCCGCTGTCAGACTGGCACCCCACTGGATAAAAAGTAGTAGCTCTACCAAGTGCACCAAAGAGATCTTCCCCCCGATAGCACTCTTCTCTCAGGAAGTCGCTGTTAGATACATAACTCACCCATGTGGCAGGCGAGCCATGGCTGGCGGAGTGGTGCGACAGGCACAGCCTGCTAACGTGATCTAACACTTCTCTGTGTCTATGTGTGTCTGTCGGTCTGTCATTGTCACTGGCTTGGAGGAGAACAAGTGCCAGGGTTTCTCTCAGGCTAACGTGCAGAGACCCATGATGCACTGCAGATTCTCCACTAGCCAGAACTGCAGTCTCAGCTCTCGCTTGCTCTCAGGCCTGTGTCAAGGATGGAACATTACAGACGAGGTGACCTAGCATCTAGGATGCTGGGTAACATTTTCAAAAGTACCTAAGTCCCAGAGCCTGAAAGGTACTTAAGCACCCGTTGAAATCTGTGGAAGTTAGGTGCCTAAATACCATTGAGGATCTGCACCCACATGCCCCAACAGTCTAAGTCCCATGAATTTTCACTAGCCCTGCTGAGTCACTTAGACATTTTGGAAAATGGCCCTTGCCGGCTAGCTGCACACACCTCTGCTGAGACAACAGGCGCCGGAGGTACAGTACAGTCTGCCTTACCCAGAGAAGTCCTGGCCGGTGTGGAGTCTCTCTTGATCCAGAAGGAAACCCAGGACAAAACTACAGTCAGGATACAGGGGATATAGGTCTGAATGGCAAAATAGCCCATCCGCCTGCTCAGATCAAAGGAAACCGTCATGACCATATAGTCCCCTAGAAAAAGGCCATAAAGAGGCAGACAAATCAGCATAGTAGGAGGTGGAGATGGTTAATCACCCTTTTATTCCTGTTATCTATCATACTTACACAGCCCCCAGGACCCTACTGTCTGAGCCCCTCACAAGCTTTAATGTATTGAGCTATACAACACCCTGGTAAGGTAGAAAAACACTACCCTCATTGGGCAACTGGAGACACAAAGTGACTTGCCCAAGGACATGCATAAAGTCTGCAGCAGACCAGGGAGTAGAACCCAGTTTTCCCTGGCTCACAGGCTAGAGCCTTAATCACCAGGCCATGCTTCCTCACTATCCTTTGGGGAACAAACTCCCCTTCATGAAGAACATCATTGCCTTTTTCTTGCTACATGACATTGAGCTTGGAGGCCCACGAGACCTTTGAATTCACATGGCAAGTTTGTGGCTTGCCTCCATAGTTGACCATTTAAACATGAACAAATAGAGGGCCTGAATTTGCCATTGACTGCTTTGCGAAAGAGCCAGGCCCTCAAAGTCTGAGGCTGATTGGTGTCATTTAAAGCACAACTCACTCTCTCACCACCACGGCCAGCTATGAACATCTACATGCAAAATTTCTACCTTATCAAAAGAGGCTGAGAGGATCCCAGCACCGCCATCGACTTGCCTCTCCTCCTTTGCTTTGACACTACACCCCTGTGTGTGTGTGTGTGTGCATCCAAACACAGCCCTAGGCAACTCACCATAGTGAAGTCTAGGAAGCAAGGAGAAGCTACACCTAGCCAGGGCTGCATTGACAATGGGAGAGGTGGGATCCATTCAACATCTCTTTGCCATTAGAAGTACGGCTTATAACTGTCAGCCCGTCATTTTACTCCTTAGTCAATATTGCTTACTGACAGATACTAGCCCCTTTTGTCACACACATAAAGCAGCAACTACTTCGCAGACATCATTACATACTGGTCCACCCACCAGCACACTGATCACTGATTCCTAGCTCTGCTGCTGAAGAGTTTCTTGTCCTTCAAATCTCTCCTGAAAATCTGCTTCTCCCAGGGAGCCTGCCCAGCAGCCAGGTTCATGTCTTCCCTTTCCTGAACTTTGGCCCCATGTCTTGGCCTGGGATGGCTGGTCTCCTGTCCCTTAAACCAGAAACAGTTCTGGGCAGGAAGGTGTTTTACTCCGAAAGACTCATGCACATTCACAGTGCTATGGAGCCACATCTTCCTTGCCCCTTTACGCACTCTTTAACCAGGCAAAGCTGCCTTTGACTGCAATGGATTATAATGGGGCACGGCTTTAGCCTGTTAACAATGCATTCAAGGTGGATGTGCAGAGCCATTCTGGGGGCGGGGGGTCACCTGCAAGTACGCTGAGCAGAAAGCACTGTGATGGCTTGGTGCAGCAAATGAGAGCCCCCCCCTTCCCTGTGGGGGGGTAGAGGGGGTCTCTGGGGAATGAGAAGATGCCCCTTCTAGTGTGGGGCAGAGGGGGTTGTGGGGGATGAGAGGGGCAAAGCCAGCCACTCCTCATGTGGGGCAGAGGGGGCTGCAGTGTGAGAGGGGCAGAGCCAGCCCCTCCCTGTATAGAGCAGATAATGGCTCTGGGGATGAGGGGGCAGAGCCAGCCTCTCTCTGTGTGGGGAAGAGGGGGTTTTGGAGGGTGAGGAGAAGAGCCAGTCCCTCCCAATGATGGACAGAGGAGGCTGTGGGGACACGGGGGGGCAAAGCCAGCCCCTTCCAGTAAGGGGCAGAAGGAGCAAGAGGGGCAGAGTGAGTCCCTCCCAATGTAGGGCAGAGAGGGGCTCTAGGGATGCAAGGGACAGAGCCAGCCCCTCCCAGCATAGGGCGAAGAGGGGTCCTGGGGTGAGCGGAATAAGCTAGGATTCAAGACTTTTGAGCTGAGGAGGAAAGTAGCTAAGAAAATAAGAGCTGCCATGCTCGGTCAGCCAATGGCCCATCTAGCCCAGTAGCCTGTTTCCAACAGCGTCCAGTACCAGAGCTTCAGGGGGCGTGCACAGAGAGAGATTCACCCCATCGTCCCCTCCCAGCTTCAGGCAATGAGAGCATTGCCCCGAGTATGGGGTTGCATCCCTGCCCATCCTGGCTAATAGCCACTGATGGCCTTATCCTCCATGGACTTGTCTAGTTGTTTTCTGAACCCAGTTATACCTTCAGCCTTCACAACATCTTCTGGCAAGAGAGTGCAACCCATGTAATTTAGGGCTTGGTTTCCTCTGTCCGATGTGATTTACCAGCTGGCCAGTATCCTTGCTATTTCTGTAGCCAGCAGCCTGTTCGCTGTGATTCTCAGATCCACCCCACATATGTCTATCAGTGCCACTGTGAGACACACATGGCCCATTGCTGGAATGGAGCTGGTCCGACTGACCTGTGCATGCAACACATGCCTGGGGGCCCCGGACTCTGTTCTCATTGAACGGGCTGCTGCGGCCTTTGTCTGTCTGTCTCTACCTCTCAGCCTCTCTCCTCTTGCTTTAATCCCTTTGCCCTCGCTGCCAAGCTGCTAACTTGGCATCTGAACTTTTTAAACCAAGAGGTGTTGGCATAAATCTGCACTTTTTGATGGTTTAACATATGTGCATGGTTCCCTGGCCAGCTGCTTTTGCCAGGAAAGGAGACGGGAAAAGCGGTTTGTTTTGATGGGTCCGTTCCCCTTACCACGGTGCAGAGTCAGCTCACCCAGGAGGCAGGTTTCACATCTGTAAGGATGAGAGATTTGGCAGTGCCCTGTCCATATTTCCCTGCGACGGATTCTTTACTCCTGCTTCCCCAAAGGGTTGATCCTGGAGAAACCCTTTGCTCCTCTGGGGAGAAGGCAATTTTCTCTCAATGCACTGTTTAATCCTGGCTCTCATGGGTGCCGTTACCATCCTGGAGTTTGAAATGCTCCATTTCCACTGCTCCCTCCTAGAGTAAACAAGTGTGTTCGCTCCCCATGCTTATACAGACCTGGGTTTCCTCTATATGGCTGAGCCTCAGTTCTTAGGGTCCAAGGCTGAGGGCTTGCTGTCTTGTGTGGCTCAACCCCACGCCCACTGCTCCCCTTTGCAGGGCTGTATTCCTTTCATCAGCAAGGCCCTGCCCCCTTCTGGCACAAGGGCGGGGGGGATTTGATCTCCATGCTGTCCCTCTCCCAGGCCTCCCCTCCCCGTCACATCATGCCAGCGATCCTACAGCAACTGTGTGCTGCCAACACAGCGCATACTGGGGGAGTCAGCTGAGCCCCTCCCTATCACATCACATCCCCCCTCTTCTCCGGGGGGGCAGGAGCTCCTCAGTGGTGGTGCTCAGCTGGGCTCTCCTGAATGCGAGGCCTCTGCCGTGACCTTCTGCTGCACAGCTGTGGAATTCACACCTCCTTCACAGAAAGCCCCCCTAATTTACAAGTTCACCCTGCTCCCACTCTGCTGCCTATTCCGCAAGTCCCAGGGTGGCAGCATTTTCTTCGCACAGCTAATATTTGCCTGTCACGGATGCACCCCTCTCCGCTCAACCTTTTCTATGTGTAGTTGTGTTCTCTGGCCAGGCCGGCATCTCAGCCACTGGCCTCATCCCTCCAGGTACAAGCCTTCTCCAGTCCCGGAGAGGAGCCAGCGGTGGTGCTCCTAGGGCAATGGAGACAAGCGTTGATGATAAACGAGATCACACTCCTGAAGCCGAATGGGGGCAGCCCAGCTTGGTAGAGCTAGAGACTGGAGGTGACAGAGGATTTCAGGTTCCCTGGTGAGCTCAGTGAAGCTGATGATTGGGATTGGGGCAGGGTTCCCTGATGATATCAGTAAAACCACTGCTGACGGGGAAGGGCTGGGGACTGAAGATTCTCCATTCCCTGGTGATATTGGCATTGCAAGGCTGGTTTACATTCGTGCAGGTTTCTGCAGTGAGAGGCTGCACATGGGAACATGGGCTGTCGTGCATCAGGCCCAGCTCTGCTAGCCAAAGGGATGTGTTGCGACTGAGCTTGCCCGTGTGGGTTATAAGTTTTCACTCCCCTCCTGTCATTCTCCCCTGTCCTGTTGTCCTTCCTGAGACATTAATTTACAGATCTTTGCACTTCAGCAGCATCTTTCAAGAGAGGCTCTCATAGCACAATGCAAATGTTAGTTCAGTCACCCTCACACCTATTCTCACCCTCAGTTTACAGAGAGGTACGCAGTGGGCCAGAAGGCTTCGATGACTTGCCCAAAGTCACACAGCAAATTCATAGCAGGGCAAGGAGTAAAACCAAGGAGTCCTGACATCCCTCCACTTACTCCTGCCGTTAGACACCACTGTTGTCTTCACCTCCGAGGGTTTGCTTAGCTCCATTACAACACATCCAGGACAGTTAGCACGTGGCAGGCTGGCCGTTCAATGGACCCTGAGTTCAGACTGAGTATGTCCCCCAGCTGCAGCCACAACTAACAGCAATGTCTGCATAACGTTCCATCAGCTGGCCTGTCCTGGAGACTCCTGAAGATGGGCTAGCAGCATACTACAGCTATGGCTTCAGCCAGGACATTTACATTCTGCAATGGCGCAGACATGGGCGCTGTCCTGAGACAAGGCCCTACGTCTCATTTACTCCTCCACGTCTCAGCCATTGACTCCCATTCTGCCTGGCCCTCATGATGTCCCCAACAACACTCTTTATCCCCATTCCCCTTCCTTCCTGACCCTTGCTGTCACTAGCTAGGTCCTTTCTCTGCTCTGTCCCATCCTCAGGCTGTGGGGGGATATCCTGTGCCTCTGTCCTACCCCATACTGTGCCTAGCTACATGCTGTGTTTGCTGCCCTTCTCCATGGGCTACAGCGAGCACATCACCCTACAGGTTGCCTGTAGCTGGACCCTTCTTTTAATGACTCTATCTTTGGCTTTATGGCTTCCTGGTGCTTCTCACCAATCCCCTCTGCCCTAAGCACTCTGCCCTCTTCTACTATGTGCACATGCTCTCTGAAACTGGGGAGAGCCCCCTTGTAACACAGCAGTGTTTCTATCAGGCCAGGATGCCTTACCAGCCCCTGTCCTGAGAACTTCTGATGTGTTCCTCAGGCCTGTGAAGTCAAACTGATAAAGTCTCCAGGTGCGCTGGTCTGAGACTTCAATGGAGTAACGCCTCCAGCGGTAGATAATCTCCTCTCGCGGGTAGCCATCTGGGGACGGGACAAGGACACAAGGACAATGGGTGAATTGCCATGACACCTTGTGCAGAAATAAGAACCTTGCATGTCTCTTTGATGCCATTTGCTCTGGAGACAATTTGGACCGCTGTGATATATTATTGTTGCTATTTCGTATTTCTAGTGTGGTCGTACCTAAAGGCCCTGCTCATGATTGGGACCCTGTTGTTCTAGACACTTTGCAAACACACAAGAAGAGGTGGGCTAGGATTCTCATTGATTCAAAGGCCATTATGAGTAATGAGTCTGACCTCAGGCATAAGGCAGGGCCTAGCTTCCAAAGGGAGTTGGGCACCTAACTCATAGGCACCTTCCAAAACCAAACTATGGTCCCCAAAGAACTTACAGCCTAAAGAAGCAAGACAGGCAAGCAGTAGTACACAGATGATAGAGAAGCATGGGCTTGGGTCCTGAGCCAGTGTACATCAGTGTGGCTCCTCAGAAGTCAAGAGAACTAGGTTGCTCTACTGCTACTGAGGATCTAAGAGCCCATTAACATGTCCAAAGATCCCTGTCTTCTGTAGTTCCAGTCCTTTAACACTGCCGCCTCCCCATCCCTCGATCCAGGTGTCTGAGCCAACAATCCTTCATCCACCCTGGCCATGCTACAGACCACCTGGTTTTAGCCCTTCCCATGACTACGACTGTTGTTTCTAGTTTAACGCTTGTGCGTTGGCTCACTCTTCTCTGCTGTGGTTATTTCAGCCCCCCATCAACTCCCATTTGTACATTGCAAACTTCTACTGAGCTATTCTGACAGCTTTGTCCCTCACCCGCCCTCCCCCTCTCCCCCCATGTCTGATCCCTGCAGGCTGACGTGGTAAGCGACTACCATTCTCTGTGAGAGGAGACCGTAGAGCAGGTAGCTCACTAGAGCAGGGGGTTCCCTCTCTGTGTTGTAAATTGGCTCTCCTTGGTCTGTGTCCCAATAGGCCAAAAGGAGTAAGGGGTCAAATCCAGCACTAAGGAGTGGGATCCAAGCCCTGACTCCAGTGCAGTTACCTGGTGTGGAAGCCCCCAATTGGGAGAACAGTGGGTTTGCTGGTCGGGATTGTGGTGCACTGGTGCTGCTGCATGGGAGATCATGGCTATGGCATAGCAGAGGGGGGCTGCAGGATCGGAATGAAAAATTTAGTGCGGGGAGGCAGTGTGGCCTAGGGGATAGGGCACTGGACTACAACTCAGGAGACCTGCATTCAATTCCTAGCGCTGCCACCGCTTTACTGGTTAACCGTAGGTGAGTCAGTTCCTCTCTCTGTGCCTCCGTTTCCCCATCTGTAGAATGGGGATAATATTACTGATCTCTTCCATAAAGCACGCTGAGCTCTGTGGCTGAAAACAGATAAGTACTAGAAGTGGATTAGATGCTATAGGTCAGCGGTGGGGGTGGTCCCTGGATTGGAATAATGGGGTGCTGCAGATCAGGGTCGAGATGCACAGGAAGGACTGGGTGGAACAGCGGGTGTGTTGGGTCTGGAGTGAGGTATTTGAAGAACTGGTGTGAAGGAACAGGCAGGGACTAACAGGGGGCACAGAGGTGGAGCAGAGCTAAGCTGGTCTAAGATGGGAAGGAAGGGGATAGGACATGTCAGCAGTGGGGTGCAATGGCAGCCTTGCCTGGGAGACACTCGCTCAGGGCTCTAGGCCAGAGGAATTATCGATCACTTTCATTCATACTTAAATTCAGTTAAGAAAGTAATTGCCACTCAAACCCTTGGGAGATGTGCTGAGAAGCTGCATACTGGGCTGGAGGGCATGGGGTTCCCCTTTGCCCTTCTTTCCTAGGCAGCCTAGGGCATGGGCTCAGTCTTCAGGTTCACTGCTTGCTGCCCCCAGATCAGCCATTCCTGTGTGATCTGAGGGGGGCTGCGGCTGCTTTGGGCCAGGCATGGCTTCAGCATCGCAGATGGTAGGCAACAGCATCAGACAGACTCCCCTAATGAGCAGCACCTCAGCAGTCAGTTAGCTGGATCAGAGAGAGAGGCTGGGCTGTAATTAATGACCAGCGGCTGGCTTAAGGGACTGCTGTCAAAGCTCTTCTGTCTCTTGGCTCCATGCTACACTGGAGTTCAGTGCTCGCCCTACACATGTCCCTGGGGCTCGTATGCGCTCTCTCTTCCATTGCGTTTCAGCAAACAGTCCCTGGAGAGCCCCTGACAGACAATACCCCTCAGAGGCCAGAGCAGCGGTGCAGGAGAAGCGTTGTATTTACTGTAAGACCTATAGGCTGTTGGTTCAGTCCGAGTTGAACGGGAACCAAAGGCCGATGTGACCCCAAAGCGTGAGATGGGTTCCTCTGCTTACATCTGATAACAATCTATCCGGAGGGCTGCCTCCTGGGTTCCAGCCTGTACCCAAAGGGGATAACCCGGCCCTACAGCCAGACCCTTTGTTATAGGTGACTCAAAATACTGACAGTGGGAGCAGCGGGGTGACCTCATTCCATTCCCCTCATTCCTCATCGGTGCCACTTGCAGCCCCCTCCCCCCACCCTCAAGGAGCTTGGGACGTGCCCCAGAAGTAATGCTGTGCTATTGCATGGGATTTCCCAGGTGGGACTGGGGAAGCTCAAACCCCACCTCCTCAAATCAGGTTGCTTTTAAAGGGGAGCTTAGCTGCCCATGCAGAGCCGCTCCTGGGGTGTCTGCAGCCCGCTGGGAAACGGGTGACGGTAGAACTTCACCGGCACCACATGGAGATATTTTGCTAGTGAACAAAATGCCCTAAGGCCGTGTCTACACTGGGCAAGCCCCAATTTTAGCCATCAGTGGCCAGTGACCGGTACTGCTGCAATCCCAGCGTCGGCAGCCGAAGCTGCTATTAGCACCGATGTTGCTTGCCCCAGTGCACGTAGCGGCTTTGCCTGGCTACACTAGGGCTAGTACCGGTGCAGCTACAGCAATGGCTGCACCCAGGCCAAAGCTCTACTCTGGTGCTTCTCCTTGCCTCTCCACCCACCTCCCAGCCTGAGCATCTCTCCGGTTCCCCAGCAGCTGCACCTTGCAGCAGTGGCTGCTTCCTGGCTTCATTTGTAAAATGAAATGTCAAACTTTGTTTTGAAGCAGGGATCTTGACACCTCTATGATAGTTCCTTGGGGGAGGGGAGACAGGGAGAGCCTGACAGCATAACTAAACTGTGTTTCTAATTAATTGTCGAGCATGCATGGAATGTACTGTTAATTAGCAAAGAATGAGGGAGGGGCAAGAGGTGGGAGGGGATGAGGGGACCAAATCTCCTCCGCATTTTGTTTTCCTCATAAGCAGCTCACAGCCGTGCGGTCTGAATCTCGTCAGTGGCAGGGTGATGGGGCAGGGAGGTGGGGAGGGAGCTGCTGGAGGTTATGAAGCTCACATCTGCTTTGCCATCTCCTGATGCTCTTGCGAAGACATGAAATGGGATGACAGGCTCCAAGCTAAGTTACTGGTGGAGCCCAGTAGATAGCAGGCACCATCAGCGCTGCCTGCTCCAAGCACGGAGTATGTCTACATTACATGCTGAGCCTGGGCTCTGACTCAGGTTTGAGCGCAAGCCCTGCTTCTGTCCACACACAAATCAGTCTGACGCAGGGTCAGGCCAGCAAGCACACAGGACCCAGTCCTTGGGCCCTGATAGGGGGATGGGTCAGAGCCCAAGTCCCGCTGTGACCTGGGTCCAAGCCAAGTGTGGACGCAGCTCAAGCCACAGACATGAGTCAGAAGCTCGGCATAGTGCAGTACGGAGCCATTGGCATGGCTGTGAGGCCTGGTCCAGCGATTATAAACCCAGTTTTATAATGCAGTGAGGATGCTAAGGCACAGGTTTGGAAACACTGGGTCCACTAACCAGGGTCCCACAGAACCAGGGTTAGAGTAAATGTAGACATCCCCATAGGGTACATCTACACAGGAAAAAAAACACCCCGTGGCGGCTAGCCTCAGAGCTTGGGACAACAGACTTGGCTTGCTCTACAGTGCTGCAAATAGCCATGCAGACATTCTTGCTCCAGCTGAAGCCCAGATAGTCACAGCCCGAGCTCCAGCCCGAGCCAGAATAGCTACGTGGCTATTTTTAATGCTGTCGCATGAGCCCAGCAACCCCATGTCTGTAGACCCGGGTTCTGAGACTCCTGGAGCATGAGCTCCAGAATCTCTGCCCTGCTATGTGCCTTTGTACCACTCTGGTGGCCAAAGGGCATGGGATATATTTTATTGCCCTTGGCTTGGGGTAATCCCCATTGGGTCATCATAGCTGGCCCCTACACCATCCTCCCCACAGCTCCTGGCTGGCGTGCACTGTGCTCCAGCTACCTTCAACTGGTAGATGATCCCATGGGGACCACTGCCAACTGGTGTAAGTTAAAATGACCTCCAGGCTATTCTAACCTGCCCCAAGGCTGGACAGATAATCAGGGAGCATAACCAATATCCCCATTTCCCCAGTCCCCCTCTATTGCACTGAGCAGAAATTAAATGCAGCAAGGAATCTTGTCCCAGAAACAGGAGGAGGCCCCAGGACATGGTTGAGGTATGTTGCTGGTGCTGTTTGGGAGAAGCCCAGCGGTACAGGAACATGGGTTCTGAATTAACACCCACCTAACAGAGTCTGTTCTCCCTGGTACAAGGGTTTGGCCCTGTTGAATTTCTTCCTTAAACCGTATTTAAGGCACTGATACTCACAACTGGAGAAAACCAGTGGGCAGGAGTGCGTGTCCATTGGGAAATTCTGCAGCTGGAGTAGACATTCCGCCTCTATGGTCAGCCTGGAAGTGAGACAAAAGACTCAGCCTCAATGCAGCTTAGTCTGACCTCAGACACAGCTGTGTAATAAACCCACGTGGGGATTTTCTGACAGAGCAGTTGTCAAAAAATGCTGAGTTGTCAAAACAGAAAGGGTCCCATAAGAAAGGGTCAGGTTCACCACACTTTTTTACTCAAAAAGGTTTTGGATTTTTTTTTTTAAGAAATTGTTGAAATGGTTCATTTTGACATTTTTGAAACAAAAAATTCCAGTTCAAAATGACTGCTCATGCAGAAATTTAAGCTAATTAAGGTAAAAAAAACAGGGTCAAAATTGAAATAAAACATTTCAACGGATTTTTGGTTCACAAAAATGTCCATGATTTTGACTTTTCATCCTGATTTGGGATGGTAACATTCTTTGATCTCTCTGTCTATCTGTGTAACCTCCACTAGCACCAGGAACCCCCAGCACTGAGATACCACTGCATCCCCTCTGCTAGATCACAGCACAGCCCCCAGTGACCCCCAGCTCTGAGATACCATTGCATCATCTTTTCTGTATGGTAGCACAGCACCTGGGAACCTCTTGCACTGTGACTTGACTGCATCATCATCTCTGTGCTCCAGCACAGCAGCACAAAGCTGCAGGGGTTATTTAGTTACTTTGCGTTTGTGGCTGATGCCCGAGACGTACCGGAGCGTGTAGAGCACCTTGCCATCATTCCAGATCCTGAGCAGCTGGTTGGGCGTGGTTATCCAGTGCGAGTCGGCCCGCTTGGAGTTCCTGAAAAAGGTATCTGGGATCCAGATGCGGCTCACCATGTTAGTGTTCAGAGTGAGGGCTTTGAGGGTACTGTTAAAGCGAAGGCGCCGGTCATACCAGGTCTGAGCAAAGAAGATATCAATGGTATATTCCTGCCAAAAGAGACAAGACAGCATGTCCTATTATGAGGAATTATCTAGCCTGGAACAGACACACAGCGCTCTGCTGCCAAAGCCCAGAGTGCAGGGTCTTGGGGCCGCTGAGTCAGATTCACACCCAGAACTCCTGGGAAACAGAAGGTGAAAAAGGCATCTGGGTGGACTGAGCAGGGGAAGATGGGCAGGTTGCCCATGCTACTGTTATTTATTACACCTAGCACCTACCAGCACCAGTTGAGGTGCCAGGGAGGCAGAGTATGTGGGTACAGTAGTATAGGCATTGTGCATACTATTAGTATATTGGTTTGTTTGTCAGCCTGAGATAGAATTTTGGGTTTGACTTTTTGATACTCTTATATTTATAATATGTGTAAACAAAGGACAAAGACCGTGTAAGTTGCTTCTGCCTAGTCAGATGGATTTGTTAGTACAAATGGAACAGATAAAAGCGGTTAAAGTGTTACTCGGTACGATTGCCTCAACCCCTATCTCAAGGCAAGGTGAAGCAACCAGTTGGGAGGGACAAGGGAGGACTGGGGAGAAGGTATAAAACCCTAAAAGACCAAAGAAATGCCTGACTCTGACTGTAGCATAACCTCACTCCTTACCCCTCCCATGGGGTACAAAGGGGGTGGGACTGTAGGCGTGCATTGCAGGTATATTTGGGCCTGCTAAGGAGGAGAAGGGGGGAAATAGGGAATGGGGACACAGTCAAGGCTCTGCGGCGTCAGAGCTGGGAAGGGGGACATCGGGGTAAATGCTATGCAGCGTCAGAGCTTGGAACAGAACACTGGGAAACGGACTCTGCTGGCTTGTAGAGCTATGGATATGCTTGCTTGGAACTAACCCCAATAAACATCGCATTGCCTGCACTTCGGACTTCTGGTCGTCTGCTTTCTGTCTGTGTGACAAGAACCAGGGAGAGGGTAAAGGGAAAGCCCTCTAAAATATACGCTTAGTAAGAGACAGCCCCTACCATGAAGTGTTTACATTCTAAATGGACAAGACGGACAATGAGTGGGAGCAGGGATACATTATTATCCCCATTTTACAGCTGGGACACTGAAGCACGGAGCGATTAACTGACTGGCCGAGGGTCACATGAATAGTCTGTGGAAAAAGCTTTGATGGAACAGTTTTCCATCAGAAAATGCAGTTCTGTCAAAATCAAAAGGCATCACACAATCAGGTTGATTCTGCCAAATTCTGATTTTGAGAACAAAAGGGGAAAAAGTTCCGACATTGGTGACACATCCCCGGTTGACGTTCTCTGGATGAAACGTTTAGAAAGGGAATTTCTGTTCTGCGCCCAGCTCTGCTCTGAGTGCCAGGCCAGTGCCTTAGTGACAAGACTATCTGTGCTCCTGAATTTTATCAGCCAGGGTGACTGAGCAGCTTCCCATGGAGGGACCTCTTGATTGCTTGGAAACTGGAAACCTGCTAGAAAGGCAGTTTATTCGGGGTCAGTGCATGACCTGGATTGTTGCCTCACAGTAGTGAAATGCGGGAGTTACTTCATCTTGACCAGCATAGTGCTTCAGTTCACTGGTGTGTGTTATCCTAGCCGCATGCTCCCTCCAGTGGGATAGGAACCAGAAACCTCATGGCTGACAGGCAGCTATTCTAGCAGATGAGCCAAAAGAGAATGCCCCTCAGGCCCAGCTGGCAGGAGCCAAGCTGACCGTTCACACCTTTGAGGTGCTTTGGGTCTAGTCTACATTCCCATTCCACTGAAGCAAACTCAATGCACGTGAAAGGGTTTGCTAGCTCTGGAGACTAAATGCTGGCTCTTCCTGGAACAAGGGTGGGACATACTTCACCCATCAGTATGCCTGTAGACCTCTGGAGCCCAGGGCCCAGTCAAGCTTAGTGACAGCCGGGAATATGCCTGTCTGAGATGGGGACTTATGTCCACTAGGAACTGGGCTGAGACCACCAAACTCATTTCACACTAGCCATGAGATTGCAATAGCCTCTAGCCACTACTATCCCATTCCTTCCTGATCTCCTCCACTCCAGTAAAATCCTTGTTGCACTCAGGCAGTGTCTGGCTCTCCTCCTTCCTGAACGGCGATGAACAACGTCTGACTCTGCCACCTCTCTCCCTCCCTCTCTTGATTTATCTCAGTGCAAGTTTTCATGACTGCATCGTGTCCTCCCCCTGCTGCCCTTGCCACTGGTTTAGAACCAACTTCTGAAAATTGGCTATTAAAATAGAAACATGGCCTTGAAAAATGTGTCCTCCCCACGTGGGGAGGGGAGCAGAGCGCTAGACACCCTGCTTCATCTTCCCCACTTTGAAATGTTGTCCTTCTGCTGTCAACTGACCAGCGATGAATGTCCTTGGTGTTGAATGTGCCCCGCGTGTGAGAATGAGATCATGGCAGAACAGCAATGCCGAGGGATGGTAGATTCATCGTGTGTGCTGGCTCCTGGGAACCTGGTCTCAATGAGAGATGGGCGGAGGAGGCTGCTGATCTGGATCAGGTTTAGGCTAGGGTTCAGCATTCACGTCTGGGCTCAAGCTGCATTGGTGGCAAGGTTTTCTGAAGCGTTCAGGGCCAGATTTTCTAAGTACCCAAAATCAGAGCCAGATTTTTAGAAGTGGCCAGTGCCCCGCAGATCCCCTTGTGACACTGGCAGATTTTTAAAAGAGCGCAGTGTGAAAGATGTTGAGCTTTTCTGAAAATCTGGCCTTCTTTTGTGAACCCTTCCCTGGGGTCTGTACCTGGACGCGGTGCAATGCTATGCCAGTGCGGGTGGAGTTTTAACTTGGGAGGGTCACCTGAGACAGACGCATCAAAGGGTAGGAGCCAGATGAAAAGCAGTCCACTGACCCTCCAAGTTGGGGGTTGAACTACAGCCAACAATGGATCTTTGTAAAACAGTTATGGAAACATAACCATTCCATTTGCCATTCCAGCAAACATCATGACAGACAGGGACGACAGCCTCATTTATGCCCTAAATGCACTCTGATGGCATGGGAAGAATTCAGACTGTGAGTGTAGAGCCTTCCTGGGAACTGCAGCTTTGCATCTAATTGCAGCTGATATTGTGAGCAAAGCTGGGTGAACAATTTGCAGGGAAGAAATTACTGGCTGAGTTTGTCCCCTTTGTCCCTTGGTGAATGCTCTACGGGTAGATGTTGATATTTATGAATGTGTTTGTTATTTAAAATTAGCCAAAGCATGATTTATGCAAACACATTTTAGCCTGCAGGTGACACCTGACCCACTGCACTCTGTGACTATTGCTATTCATAACGTCCTATTTGCGCTGCGTGTTTGGTCATCTAAGTCACATGATCTTGTGCTTCCACAGCGACTGACTCCCAGTCCCCCAAGAAACTTTCAAGGTGCTCGTGAATGATGTGAATACTCATATAACAATCTAGTCACGCAATTATTCATAAAAATTTCCCTTTCCCCATGCACAACTGTTCCTGGAAAGCTTCACAAATACTAGCAAAGCAAAGGTGTGGATTTTACTGGAAAAATTGCTTGCAAATATATTTTTTGCAGAATCTGCCTGTGGGATTTTTGCCATCTTACATGATGGAAAGCTCATGAAATCATCTAGATCGCCTAGATTTCAAGCCCTAGTTGTACCCCTCTTGCAGTACAATGTGGTATTGTAGCCATCTTAAATTCAGGTGCTGCCTGACACAGCACAAATCTGCGCTCTGAATTCTGGTCGTATACAATTAACTTAAGGGGTCTCTCCTGCCATGATCCAGGAGCCAGGATTTCCAGATTCCTTGTCTGCCACTGGGTCACTCTGTGACTTTGAGCAAGACTTCTCTGTGCCTCAGTTTCCCCACCTGGAAAATGATTATTGCAAAACATTCCTTTGACAATATTGCAGAGGCCATTGTGAGGATTAACTGATGGTGTGAAATATGTTTTTGGATCACTTGATGAAAGATGCTAAAGAAGTGGAACATCTTCTAAGAGCTAAGTATCACTCCAGCCATTTGGGCAATATTTGGTGCAACATACATACACATGCTTCAGTATGACACCAGGTGCAAAAGGAACAGCCAGAGACTATTAACGAGAACCACCAGTCACTGCAAAGACTGGCTGCCTGAAGGCCACCAAAACTCCAGCTGTAACAACGTGTAGTTATCCAAAGCCCAGATGGGGCGATGTGACATTCTTTATTTGGGAGTCCTGTGGACTCAGATCTGATTTGGCCATTCAGCGCTTCCCCATCGCTCTGCCATCTACACTCAATCAATCCCATCACCGGGAGCTGATTTTATGCCACTCTGCTCCATTTCATCTGCCATTCATTATTCTTTTCTTGTGTCGACACTAGCGGAGGCCTGCTCCGAGAAGGCTGCCCATGCCGGTTTTACTCGTGTAGCTGAGGCAGGATATTTGGGAAGAGCAGAAGTAGAGAATGGAGGGGATCAGGGCTGCCTACACAGTGTTAAGTGATGCAATTAACATGTGGGCGGACGGCATTCAATCTACAGTTTCCTTTGTGCTGCACAGAACATGTCTCCTCATTGCATATGCATGAAATGGTAATTGAGCTCAGTGACCAATTTTATTTCAGGCTGCTAAGCTGCATTCGGAATTATTATCATGTCATCTGAGATCCATATGGTGTGGTCTGTATTCACTGCTCAAGCAAAACTATACACATTACCCAACGCTACGGAGCATCTCTCTGAAACACATAACAAGCAGGAAACGCAGAGGGGGAGAGAAAAGGTTGTCCTCAAGCAGCCTTGCCGTACATTAGAGACTCAGGCTGGCAGTGTTTTACTTCTAGTGGAGGTGGCATTTTCCTTCTAAAATGACTTCTTTTCCCCCAAATTACCCTGCCAGCCAAAATTTCATATGCACAGTCTCAGCCCAGAAGTGAATGTGTATATGTAGATAGATAATTCCAAAAGCAATTCATTCAGCTAGTTATCTGAAGGTGAAAATAATACATCTTCCATTACTTTGCCTATTTCCTGTCCCCGTTCACAACTCCCC